CTAGGCGAGATAAATTTGTTGTTAACAATACTCTTAGCTACAGTTTTTGTAGTACAATTTTGTAACTCAACCAATGTACTGCCGTGTTTAAGTCTAACTGGTTTATCCAAAGGGTTAACATTCTCGTCAAAATCAGAGTTGTTTAGTTTGTGAGGTACGCACTGTATCAGGCCATACCATTTTAAAAAGCATGACCCAGGTACTCCTTTACTCTGAATCTCCTCCTCCCATGCCCGTAGTTTCCCAGTTTCCTCATACATTTGTTTAACAAACAAAATTCCAGCATCAACAAAATCCTGAATGAAGACCGATTTCCCTCCCAGAAGAATCAGTTTGTTATTCCAAATTATTTGCTCATTTTACTAATTTGTTAGATGTCACATCCCATTTGTGCAAGTTTTACATGAAATTGGGGTTTTAGAGGATGCCGGTTTCAAAAAAATGATGAAAAAAAGACTAATTTAAGTTTTCCAAATTCCTATTATTATGTATATAGCCATTCACACCTCTGCCTTACTTCTTGAACAAATGCTTAATTTGAAAAGAGTGTGTCTATTCTGTTTGGGCCCTTAAGTACAATCATTTAGGAATCTATTCCTTCAGGTTACACCTTAGAATGGTCATGGAAGAATACCAACTGTAGCACAGACAACGCATTAATAGATATTATGGAATTCTGGGAGGATGGATATTTCGGTATAGTAGGGCCAGGATGTTCTTGTGTCCATGAAGGACGAGTAGCGTCATCTGTATACATGCCAATGATAGCGTATGTAAGTAGATGTGTGTTTTTTTTAGATCCAGGTATTCTGTCCGTACCTCAATATAGGAAACTGGTCTATTCAGTCATTTGAGTCCATTCGAACTGCATTAAATTCATTATTATTATTATAAAAAATTATGCCTATTTTAAAACATTTATTGCATTTACATGAAAGTAAAGTGATGTTACTGTATAATACCCAAATTTTCACCATATGGGTGGTGCATACAATACTACCACAGAACCATTTTTCTGAGATTTTAGTATATCAATGTCTGTAAATCATGACATGTTATATTTGAATGCAACAAGATTATTTTTTTCATGGAGCTTAATTTTCTTTATATTTTCACATTATGTAAGATGTGCAATGATGATGGCGTTTATGACAAAGAAGTTTTTGAATTCCCAACGTTTTTCCGTGCCACTCCACATGGCTCCACAGTAGCATCACCAATTGTGACTTTATATCAAGAAATGGGATGGAAAGTCACGTCTATTATTGCATCTGATGATCAAATCTATCAGAGTACATATTACACAGTAAAGACCTTGTTCGACAGCAATAGCATAAATATCATGAATTATAGATCGTTTAACAGCAGTTTTAAGCCTGATAATGGAGACGTATCACCATTTTTAGATATCATCACAGAGACTGCAGTGACTACAAGAAGTGAGTATATTGAAATAGAAGCTGTCAATCCCTGGAATTGCACCTTTGCATTGTGGGACTTTCTGGACTGTACCCTTGTTGCCATACCAATGCAAAATTTGACAGCGAATATAACCTGTGATGCTGCTATATAGTTATTTTATATGCTAGCTAAAAAATAATCATCCCCTTGTACCAAATCAGTCTCTGTCACCAGCAAATATTCTTAAAACTTGCTTAAAACAGCATGCTTAAAATTACTGTAAATTTGAGGTAAAATATGATCACACAAAAATGGTAATTCTGCTTTGTTTTCTGCATCTTAGTGGGATTGTTGTAACAAAACTACATTTAATTTAGTAATTGCGTTCATCCATTTCTCACCATGAACATTTCCCAGAAAGCTCTGATACTTGGCTTTGCAAACATACATTCAACAGCAGACTAGTCAAGACTTTGAGCGTCTTGTTTGATCTTTTCCTGTATTGTTTGTGTTAGTTATTTTTTATGTTTCAGAATCTATTACTTTATTGTACTTTTCATCAAAACATCAAATATGGGGTACGATAACAATAAAGATTATATTCTATGGTATACTTCTCTCATCACACCATATAATTGCAACATTTTTTTGTTTTCCTCTATAGTTTATCTCTTTCTTGGACGACAACCACATCTACAGCAGTTTGCAATAGACATGGAAAATGAGGGTCTCTTGAAGGGTGATTACTTGATTATAGGAGTTTCAATTGATTTCCAGTTACGTAATAGTCAAGATTATACTGGTAAGATCATATTGACACTGTGCTGGACTTACATGTACATTTATTATGTTGCAATACCTATAAGGAACGACGTCAAAAGATCGATGTCGGATAAAAACTTATTTGCTTTAGTTTGGGGGTTGAGGGGTTTTGACCTCAAAAAGTTACCATCCTACAAAAATGATTTTATTTTTCAATGAAGTCAAAAAATCTTTGAGTATTTGTAGTTTGTATTTTCTTCTATCCAATCATAGACAAAAATAACAGAAAATGAAAAAAACCCATCCAAGACGAGAAAATGGTTTGGTGCGAGTGTAAATATGTGCATAAAATGAGGCCAATTTCAGGGCATGGACCTAGAGCATGCGCAGAACCCATAAAAGTAGTTTGCGTATGCGTATATTCTCCTTTATTATTACAACCAACTGCTATGCCATACTACTATCCGATTATCAATTTGTATTTAATGGGAATGTAGTCTGACGCCATGATCAATATTTATCAAGTTTCAGTGGGGGGGGGGTCTAAAGGAATTAAGTTTTTTATCTGACATCGATCTTTTGACGTCGTTCCTAAGGCACCCCTATCTATTGACACACAAAGCCAAAAAGTAAGCTACAACCCTTTGGTTCATATGAACTGAAGTGACCCAATAATGTCTGCTTTATGATTTACTGTTTGATTTTGTCCATTAGCCACAATATGTTAGACAGCAGGCAGAATATTTTTATAAGGGACTGCACAGATCAGCATGATTACCCCTGGTGGATTACCCAACCATCATGGATTGTGCTGCATGCTCCCAGATCAAAATGTTGACTATAAATAAACTATATATAAAGTGACTATAAATAAACAAGAAAACTTTCAAAAGTTCCTATAGATAAAAATTATAGGTGTTCCTAGCAAGAACAATTACAACATTTGAAATAATATATTAGTTCATGGTTCATCATCATCTCCTAAGCAATTTTCTGGACATCAACAACTTGAGACTAACCCATTTGATCATTTAGTAAAAACTTGATTTTTTATTTAGCTGTTCACGTTGGCTAGCAATTCGTACATTTACCAGTCCCAGTCAAAATCAACCTGGTTCTGACAGGTGGGATGGTCTTAATGTCTGTGTGGAACACATACTTCTCTTCAAAGAACTAGTATGACATTTATAATTTTTGCAGATACTGGTGTGAACAGTGAAATCACCAGACAGGCCTTCAAATCTGTATTAATAGTAGAATTACAACAACCAGCTATGAACAACACAGAGTTGGAAAGTTACATTGCTGTTATCAGGAACAGATCTGCTGAGACTTTTGGTATAGATAATACCTTAACAGTGAGTATACTGTTAATTCATCTGCAATATATTAATTTTCAGTTCACTTTTTGGTTGTATTACTGAATGCATGTCTTAGTGTTGACAATATTGTCATCCAAGGAGCATGAACTTTGCTAATCACGTCAATAAGTTATAATACATGTAATACATGTATTGCAATAAACTGATGGAAACACTGTATTTCTAAGGATGCAATAAATTATCTTTATTATTATTATTATTATGTATACTATTATATTGAAGTCTCGTGATTTTTATTTTTTGTGTGTGTAAAGGCATTCTTTATTACACAAATAAACCAAATGTTTTTGCTTTAGAGTTACTTTATTGACAATAACAGGTTTTGAAACTTTCTTATTTTTATATTCCAAGCAAGCCATTATATTGTCAGCTGACTACAAAATAATTAGTGTTTTTCTTATTGTAACAATTAGCTAAATGTGCCCCCCCCCCCCCCCCGGATGGCAATGCTGTTCATCTTCCCTCAAATAAACTAAGTGTTTTAGGTTAGTTGTTAATTAATCACCAATGGTATTAAAAAACACTGAAATCAGCTTTCAGAAGTTAGAATTAATCTAATGATTTTTTGTGTATAAAAAAATAATAGTATAGTATAGTATAGTATAGTATAGTATAGTATAGTATAGTATAGTATAGTATAGTATAGTATAGTGATTTTTGATTTACGGATAATAAAACTAAATTACATTAACGGAAGTGACTGATAACTTTTACTATAAAAACCTTAGCACCCCGTTGGCAGGCCAGTCACACTGGTTCTCACTACAAGAGGTTACGATCCCCCCTGCCAAATGTTAAGGAAA